GTTGTCATCAGGAAGTTTTCAAGCAGGTCTTCTGAACAGACAAGCATGAATGAAAACTTCAAACAAGATTCCAGGTTATGCATTATTTTCTGAGTTGTAAGTCACTGATAATTTTAAGAAACAACGTCAAATATCAGCTTTGGGGAATGTGGTAAAGACATCCTTCCCCTTAAATATGTACATTGGTCACAAGATGTGAACTTTTCTAGTGATTCTAAATGTGCAAAATCTGTAAGGTAAGTAAGTGCACAGTAAGGTAGACTAAGGGCTTTTGTAAGAAGAAATAGACTTTGAAATGCTCTCCCTCTCAAATCCTTCTCCATTAGTGTTAACCTCAGTCATTTCTAGTTGTCTTCACATTGCTCCCCTTCTCCTCTTCTCACCACTGAGAAGACACACTAGGGCTTATTTTCAGGGGATGTCTGCTGAAATGCATGGTCTTTTCATAAGACCCATCACTAGGTCTTATTACTGGGGTAGGGCTTATATTTAACAAATACATAGAAATCCTGCTAGGGCTTATTTTTGGAGTAGCTCTTATTTTCGGGGAAACACAGTAGTTCCTCAGAAACAAGAACAAACTGATACAAAGTCCATTTCCTTCCCTTCTTGTCCTCTATTGGAATGTCTCCTAAGTCTTTGACCATGAATTGAGTTCTATGAAGAACACCTGTCTTGACCTTCGTCTCAGGACTGCTAGAGCATACGAGGGCTGTCCAAAAAGTATCCAGCCATCATGAATGCTATTTTTCCTATTACTTGGCTGAATACTTTTAGCACAGCCCTCATATACCTTTATTTAACTAAACAGAAGCATAGCCATATTTAGATGCCATGGAATATATATTTGAAATCAATCTTTAAATTCCATCTAAAGACCACCTACACTGCTTACTCATAAACAAAACCTTACCATAAACCTCCATATTTGCTTATCTGTGTATTATCTGTGTGTTCCGCTCGAGTTTCAGATCCATGGGCACAGAGATTTTATCTTGTGTTTATTGACTGAGTGAATGAATACCTTCTCTCACACAGCGGTCATGACACAATTGCAAACTCCTTTTATTTTTACACTACTAACAGGAGACAATAGGACTTACTCCTTGTTATAAACTACTGGTGTTCATTCATTTGTTCTTTCTCTACAAAGTGTTTCATGATCGGGCTCCTTCCGCCTCTCTAGTGTCCCCTCATGTCCCTTGTTGTCCAGCCACACTGGCCATGGCTCACTTCCTAGTAAGCTCCATGCTTCCTTCTAACTCGGGACGTCTGCCCTGGGCATTTTCTGCCCATCCCTAACACCCTTGGATGTTTTCAGGGAAGACTTCCTGATCCCCATCAAGACCAGGTATAATATCTGCCTTCTAAAGTCTCACAGTTCCCTGTCATTTTCTTTTATTCCTCATCATGAATCTTAACCACATCTGTAAAATTTATCTGTATAATTATTTGATTAATGTATCCCCCAGTCCCACTCACCCAGGTGCAGGCAGAAACCAGCCTTCCTGACTCAACTATTGTCCCTGTCAGGTAACTCTGTGCTTGTAACATAGCAAGTGCTCTTAAATGAATAAATGAGTTATGTTCTAGGAACATAATCAGCTACCAAATATGTAAGTCCATGTTATATCTTATCATTCTCCCCCTAGGTAGTAGGTACTTAATCAACACTTTTTGGTTCATTGAAATCATCATTGATCTCCAGCAAACTATATTTTCCAATGTCTACATGACACAAAAAGAACTTATTACAAAACTGCTGAAAAATAAACTGCTCTCTTTCTATTCTTTTTCTACATATTAATACAATACAAAAGCAATCTGTTTTTGTTTTTCACTGAATTTATTAACTGTTTTGGAATTAAGAACATGACAGGGTAGAAGACAGCTGGCAGGGAATCAAATCAGTATTTGTTTCTGTGGCTATATTTGAAAACATCTGGAAGCATACTTTAATTATCCTCTGAATATGTGGAGTCTTATGTTCTCAGCCTCTGAGATAATCTCTTCCCATATTGTTCCTAAATGAAAGGTATTCTGTTGACAACATGGGTGTTTTTTGGACATAGAGGAACTTATGGGTCATTGAAAATAGAGTCGTGAGCTCCCAGGCTAAGGGGATTACACCAGCATTCTTTTTTTTTTTTTTTTTTTTAAAGAGGAAGAGTAAAGAAATCTTTAGTTTCAAAAACTACAGAAAAAAAATTCCACATAACATAACTGAGAAGCTAGTCATACAGGAAACCTTGAGGAGAGTATAGATTTCTTGGGTCCAGACAAAACAGTACTGGTTTCAAGGGTCTAAAGATAGAAAACCAAACAACAGGAAATCAGTTATAATTGTAAACTTAGAGTCTCTTCTCATACTTAACTGTAAAGCAACTTCTTTATATATTCTTGCTATCTGTTGTTATTTGGATCTCTGCCACTAGGCAATTTTAACTGGACTGTCCGGAATTCTTAAACAAAATTTCAAAAGGCCCAGGACATTTGGGCGGTATTTGCTAAGTCTGGTCAAGTTTTGGGAAAACCCCTGTTAGGAAGTTTGGCCTCCAGTAGTGAGGTCCTTCAGGCACTGCTTTGCCCACTACTCTCTCCACCCAAGAGTATCATGCCAGGACTGGCTTCTGCACTGCCCCAAGAGATTTTCATCAATGTCGTATCCAAATCCTCCTTCTTGGGATCTGGCAGATGCTATGAGTCTGCAGTATTAACTCCTGGGATGTATTTTTGCTCTATGTAAGCCAGAGATCAAGTACAGCTGATTTGGAACTCCTCTAGAACTGCAGTCCCCAATGCCCAGGCCACAGGCCAGGCCTGCCAGCAGACCCAACTGGTCCACAAAGCAGGAGGTGAGAGGCAGGAGAGTGAGCAAAGCTTCATCTGTGTTTATAGCCACTCCCCATTGCTGGCATCACCCCCTGAGCTCCACCTCCTGTCACATCAGCAGTGACATCAGATTCTCATAGGAGCATGAACCCTACTGTAAACTGCTCATGTGAGGGCTCTAGGTTGTGTGCTCCTTATGAGAATCTAATGCTTGATGATCTGAGGTGGAGCTGAGGGGTGATGCTAGCTCTGGGGATGCTGGGAAGTACTACAAATGCAGATTATCATTGGCAGAGAGGTTTGACTACACAGAGATCATGATACATCAATTGCTTGCAGACTCATCCCAAAATTATCCTTTCCACCCCCCAACTGTGGAAAAACTGTCTTTCTTGAAACTAGTCCTTGGAGCTAAAAAACATTGGAGACCACTACTCTAGAAGGGAACCTACACCAAGAGAAGAGACCTACACAGACAAGAGAAAGACCTCGATGCTTTGCAGGGGTGGGGGTAGGGGTTGGGGGGAGGAGACAGGGGGAGCAGAAATTTCCAGGAAACAGTAATATCATATTGATTCTCTGCCCCTCCAGGTCAAGAGGAAGGGTTTCTATGTTAAATCATACTCATGGCTTACTGTCTTTAGGCAAAAATATGCATTTTCCTATTATGCTTTAGTGTGATATCAGAAAGATTCAAGGAACTGAAACAGTGGCAACTGCCATGTCTAGGGTGGTGATAGTCTTAAGTAGTTCAACCAAATTATCACAAAAAGAAAGAGCTTCTCAGTCTGTCTGCCCATTACCAATTTAAATGCACAATTCTATCTCGGCCACAGCAGAAATGCAAAAGTGTTAAGATTTAGCCCTCAAAGTCATGAAGGGAAAAAAAAATAAATTTTGCTTAATATGTCTTCAAATATTTCATTACTGTTCTATAGATCTCATTAAAAGCACTGGCTTACCATATTTGGAATAAAAATTTCTCACTTTCACTTTCTTCCTACATCCAGAGGAGCTGGGTTGCTCATCTGCTACTTAATTAGACCACAGAGACTTCAGTGGGGGGAAAGGACATGGAATGAAAAAGAGTTAAGTGCACTTAAGTTTGATTTTGTATCAATTGATCTCCTTTCCCTGTGATATGAGCAAAATACAAAAGAAGGTTTTATTCTTGGCTCCATTCCACACCCCCCCCCCCCCCCCCCCGGCATTTGTTCCTTACACAAAACTGTTTGGCCAAATATCAGATTAACATTCAGGGTCAGAGAAGCTGCCACCGTAAAGAAACTTGTGGCCTTCCAGGTCCTTAAGTGCACTCTTTTGACTGAATGCAAATTTTATATAACAAATACTTTTATTAAAAATGGTGCAGAAGAGAAAGATGAAGCGCTTAGTGCTTGGAAAAGAACAATCTTGAAATCAGAATGCCACAGGTTTCCCACCCCTGGAAGCCTCCAAATCTCCACTTGCTCTCATTTGGGGCCATTAGTTTACTTTGAACAATATCCAAGGAATTCATATACTAGTAGATTTCCCTTCCTGAAAAGCCAATTTCCTAACTATTCAATGAGATGGCTTTTGAGACCCATATCAACAAATTAGGAAAGCAATAATGTTTCTTTCTCAACAGGAAACTCACTGTTACTGGTGCTGCTGCCCTAATTATACTATAATAGCATTTCAAAAGGACCTTTTCTGAATTAGAAAACATCCCATGTACTGGTTGCACAATATCCTCTTCAATTTCCCATACTGAATGAGTTGATTTGAAAGTAAGTAGGGGCAAATACTACCTTTTTTTTCCAGGAAGCAAAAAGCCAGGTTTTTACTTCATTATCACATCTCTTGTTTTGTTTTGGTTTTAGTAAATCGCTTATACTTAAATAAAGTTTCCATTTAATTGGAGTTGCCATAAAAGAAAATAGGACTTTTTTTTTTTTACCAAATAAAATGGGTATACAACTGTCTTTTCAGTAACATATAAATTCATCAAGTGCTAAAAATGGAAATGAAAAAGCTTTCGTGCAGATACAAGCTACTATTTTCTATTTAGCAGAATACAAATATTGCAAACCCACAACAACCTACCTAGGATACTTTTGCATTTTGAATCATAATTTACATGATTTAAAGCCCAGGCATTTCAAGAGGTTAAAAAAGTAACTCACAGTATGCAGTCACTCCGCGCCTGGGACTTCAGTGCCTTCTTCAGTAGCACGACAGATTTTATCACCAGTAGGTCAACAGCCCTGCAACAGAGATCACTCATAATTGGTGAGTGTTTTACTTGAACATTTGACAGCTGGGTAAAAAGTTTATGTAAGGCTGTTACTGTTATGTCTTCTGTAGTTGCGTTTGCAAACAGGAAGCAGGAAACATACCTACAGGAACACTGACATATGTCAGCCTAATTGGTTCAAAACACTTAGGAGTGAGTCTTGTACTTTAAAGGTAATAGGCACAGTCCCCAAAAGAGCAGGAACCAGGTCTGAGCATATCACTGTCGTGTCCTTTGGACAGATGCTATGTAGACAATTTATTATAGGGAGAAATAAGCGTTCTTACTAACATGCAGGCCTTATAGCCTCAATTCAGGACGGGCAATAAACTCCTGAATAAACTAATTTATATATAAGTATACATATATAACACATTAAATAATACATTATTTAAATGAATAAATAATATAGTATTGTAATATATGTATATTTTTTCCTAGAATATACATAGAAATTTTCATTTAGGAATATTTTGGTCTTAAGTCATAGAAAGCACAACTCACATATACAAGTAAAAATAACACATGAGAATATTTTGGTGCCTTGAACTGGGGAAGAAAAGCCAGAAGTAGGGTTGTTTTGGGGAAGCCAGAAGTCTGATATATCATTTGTTTCTCTCCTGTTCTCCTGGCATAGGTATTCTCTGTGAAGTGACTTCATCTTCAGGCTGCTCCTTTCTTTGGTGCAAAAAACAACTATAGCAGTTCAGGAGTATGTATTTATCATCCGAGAGGACAGTATGCATATCAGTATAATGACAGTCCCAGTGATAGTTCTGAGGTCATTGAGATGACCCATTGCTGAATCAGTCCCTATACTTTGGGATCTAATATATCAAATGGCTTAAACTAGAGGAAGCTTATCCATGGAGGTGAGAGTAGGGTCACTCTAAACAAAAATTCCATGGTTAGATGATTGGGACACAGGGAATAGGGAATTGGGGGAGGGATCAACAAATGTCTACCATGCCAATGCTCAGCAACAATTTGAAGATTGATATTTGAGGGTATGTATCTCTATCTATGAAAACACTACGACTTGGGTTATCTGAAGATGTCTGATAGAGAATGAGGTTCAATAGATACTGATTACCCAAAACTCTTCCTTTAGTTGGACTTCCTCTTAACACTGAATTTTTTCTCTGAGAAAACAGATCCAAATATCCCCACTCTTTTTTATGAAATATAATTTATTGTATGTGAAGTACTCTTGTATTTGGTCTTCCATTTTGTCATCCAAACAAACAACCCTGCCTGTGGTGGGCAGGCATTCTGACTATAGGCTTAGATACTGGGCCACAGACTGCCAATTGTCTATCCAATGCCCCATCTACCATTTTTTCTTAGGGAACCCTGATTTTGTTCAGGACAGGAGTTTGTCTTGTTAAGGACAATGGGCAAGTGAAACAGTTTTGGCCCTGGAGTTGTAAGACAAAGTTACTGGGCAGGAGCCCTAGAAAAATCCTTTAAAAGAACTCTGGAATTCACTTTTGTCCTTTTGCTTATCTTCTTTCTGTCTGAAACACTAATACAAAGCTGGGGGAAGAGCTACGTCTGGCAGTCATGAGCTAACAAGCATGAAGACAAAAGAAAGCCACGACACTGGGCCTGGCTTACCTGCTCCTAGGCTGGTATAAGAGAAGAAATAAACTCTATTTGGCCAAGCCACTGTAGAAGGGTTCTTTTCACAGCCCACTGAACATATTCCTAACGGACACAAAGAGGTTTCTCAACCAGGTAATGACAGATCAAGGCTTCAACCAGGTCTGTCAACACCCTGTCCAGTGATACTGTCAGCACCCTGTCCAGTGATATTTCCAAGAAACTTCATTGCCTCTCCAGAACCAGAACCCAGAAACTCATACTCTGAATACTATACAAACAGAAATCTTAAATGTATGCTTTTTTTCCCCCTCCACAAATAGCTCATTTAAATGACGAGTCATGTAGTTCAAATGCTGAGAGTGGATTGCATGGCTTTTAGGTTTTGTTCTGTTTTGATTTTTGACTTTTTAACATGTGACACTCCAGCATTCACAAAATTGCTAACGGGAGAACGCCCTGGCTACGGCAAAGGAAAGCTGCCTAAGGGGGAATTAGCTACCTTCCCAAATCTTGCGGGAGGATTTTCTCCCTTGACTTTTTCATTTGCTCAGCTATTGAAAGATAACAGAGCTCTCACAAATGTGGGAGTAACTCACTGAGCCAAAAGTCACGGAGGAACCATCCCCGAAGATCAATTCCAGAGGGATTAAGGATTTGGTTGTGAAAAGCAAGAACGTTTAAACTTTTAGAAGAAAATATAGGAAAATATCTTTTTGATGTTAAAATGGGAGAAGAGTTCTGCAGGCACCAAAAGGCTAACCGTAAAGGGAAAGACTGATACATTTGCAGCTTCAGTTTATCAGAAAGTACAATAAAAAAGCAAACACACAAGCCAGTCTCTGAGACAAGTATGCAACACATAAAATGAACAAAAGATCGGTATTCATATAAGGAAAGGGGACATGTCAGTCATAAAAAGACAACACAATAAAAAAAGAAGCAATAGATCTGACAGCATGTCATAGAAGAGAAACACAGGAATGGCCAATGGACATACAAAGATGAGCAACCTCAACTGTAATCCGAAAAATGCAAATTAAACAGACAGTGGGAGTATAAATTGAGATAACCATGCAGAACCAAATAACCTTATCTTATGAAGCTGAATGCTCACTTAATCACCATCTGAGCAAATCCTCTCCTACCTACACTCTCAGTTGGAATGGTTTGAATGACAGTGCACCCTCCAAAATTCATACTGAAACTTAATCCCCAAAGCAACGGTATTGAAAGACCTTTAGGGCACTCTGGGAGGCTGAGGAGGCTGCTTCATCTTGGAAGCAGAGACTAGACCTCATGAAACACTGAAGCACGATGGCACCTTGATCTTGGACTTGTCAGCCTCCAAAACAATGAGAAATAAATTTCAGCCATTGTTTCTTTGAACACTTTTTTATGCTTGTTCTCTTTCTCTTTCCAGGATTCTGATGACACACATGCTAGACAACTTTTATATCCCCATAGGTCCCCAGGGTCCTGTCCCTTTTTATTTTCAGTCTGTTTTCTCTGTCATTCAGATTGGGTAATTTCTATTATTCTACTTACAAGTTCACTGATTCTTTCCTCGGTTGCCTCTACTTTGCTGTTACACCACCCACTGAGGTTTCTCTTTTTATTTCATTTCTTACATTTTACTAGAAACTGAAGAAAATAATAAAGTGAAAAAGAATACAAAGATCAAGCCAACACATTTTTTGAAGTTGCAAGAGGAAACAACTTCTTTGGCCGCCTTTGGATATATTGGTGGGCAGGCCAGGGTCCAGTACAGTCTGAGGCAACTCACATATGGAATGGTCCTACTTCCATTCACCGGCCTTTCATCAGAACACATCCTCCACAGATCAAGGTGGCTCCTCTGGGCAAGGCTGTCTCCAGGTGACAGGACAGCTGGGGTGGGAACCGGCAGCCCTCCAGCCATAGTTTACAGCCCAGCTGAAGCTCTCTCCTCCTCTGGGCTTTTTAACCCACCCCATCTTACTCCAGCCTTCCGTGCCCATGGATTTATGCAGTTTTCTCTTCTGTTTCCACGGATTTCTATGCTTTTCTCTAGCACCTGTTTCCTCCTTATTTCTGCTTGTTTACCTGGCCTCTGACGCATTTTTGCCTGCATCGTGACATTTTATATGTGTGTCGATTCCCTGGCCCGGCTTCTAAATAGGCATCACTAGATATTCGAGTGGGTTCACTTGCTCTCCAAGGCTTCTGGAGCGGAGACCTTCCTTTCTTCCCTTCGAGGTGGGGGTGAGGGAGATTGATCCTAAAGGTCCACCCTCGAGGACACATGTGTGAGGTCACCAGCTGCTCTGGAGCTCCTTCCATTCCAAACCCAGCACATGGAGGCGGGAAGAGAATGGGTGGGAGGACAAAGTAACAGTGAAAAGTTTGATAAATACTAACAGCAAGTACTAAAAATAACTAGACAGCAGTAGTGTCTACTTTTAGGAATTTCATTTGTGCTCTTGTACTGGGGGCGAGGATGAAGGAGAGAGAGGGCTGTGGGAGAAAGGGTGGAAAAGCTCACGTGCTCTGATGGGGGAGGCACTCGGGAGTGTCCCCAGGCAGACAGCGCTGCCCCACCCTCCCTGAAATAACTTTCTCTGTCTCAGCCTTCCCAGGCTTCCTCTACTCTGCAAAGGCTTCTCTGCTCTTGCCAGCAGAGAGGGAAAGCAGCTAAGAGGGAGTGGACTGTTCTGCTCCCCAACCTCACCTTCTCCCATTTGTAGAATAGCCTGGCCACCTTTTGACTTCAGCTCCCAGAAGGCAGAAGGATGGCTGGGATCAGTGTGTGTCACCTGTACATCTGTGAGTCTCTGGTATGCTGAGCATGACATGGCAGAGCCATTAACCCCACATGATGCAGTCTGCATGGTGGGGACAGAAACACCAGACTGGGGGTTCTACCTGTCTCCCCAGATGCCCTAATGCTGGGCATTCCTGCTGCTGCTTTCTAAGACTGAGGATGTGGGGAGGTGGCCCTGATCCTTTCACAGGAAGGGTCTCCTGTTGAAACAAAGCAGAGGAGAGCGAGGCTGTTCAGCTCTGATTCTGTTATTTTCCCTTCCCCAGTGAGTAATTCAACTTTGCTGTGAATCGATATGGATTGCTGGAGCTGGAGGAAGACACAGACAAGGAAAATAAATTGTTCCCACTTGGATGAATTATAAGCACCTTTGAGCTCTTCATCATATCTGTCCTGCACAATCAGCAAAGAAAAAGTATTTTGAGTCTGAGTCTTTCCCTTCTGCTCCCCTAATCCCTCCTTGATAACATGTACTCTCCTAGCATAGTCTGACAGCAAAAAGAAATACAGGGCCTGCCTTCCCTGTGCCTGCTTTCAAATCACTGCATTTATCTATCTTCCCCTCC